GAGAAGCAGGCAGGGGATGGGGCCTGGTAGGGGTCCCCCCAATGGTTCCCTCCCCCACCCCCTGCTTACCAGCATAGAGTCTGGGTCCAGCTCCCTGCCGCATCCAGAGGGGACTGCCTGAATCTCTGAATCTTTTCCAAATCAATTCAGAGAGCTTCAAATCTATTTGGACCTTTTCATTTGTCCCATGATTTGTTTCGGATTTGGAGATTTGGCCACCAAATTGGGCTGAATCTCCTCTGAATCGAATCAGCACCCGAAGCTTTGCACAGCCCTAGCAGACAGCTGTCAAGTACATGAAAATCATTGGCAGTCTCTCCTGTTTTTAGTAGATAAATCATCTTGGCATAATTGCCATTAATCAAGAACTGTTGGTAGTCTTCAAACAGAATCTGGACAAGCATGGTGCTGAAGATTGGATCCCTCTCTGAATTATAATGATTACTGATCTGAATCAAAGCTGAGGCATGTTGATGGAGCAGTTTTAGAAGCCATTCTGTGATTAAACAGGACTTCCAACTCTGGCATGGATAATCTTGGACTCTTCACACAAACCAGCTTTTTTTTTTTTGTTCTGCTCCTGAAGTTTTGTAAAATGTGAGTGAAATCCTGCCAGTGATGTGAGAGAAACAAAATCTTAAGGTTAAGTCAGAAAAAGAAGGAAGGAGGAAGAAGATCCTTCCATCTCATGTTAAGGGTCCCTCAGGCATTCAAGCAGGTTGTACTGGGATTGCACCCAGACACTTAGGTGCTCAATAAGTGCAATAGGATCTGGGCCACTACAAAACAGGAAGTCTAGGGTTAGCCTCTTCATTTTGTTAATAAACCACTGTTTCCTGACTGCATATTATCTTTGGCTCTACTAGTTATGTTTTGGCTGCAGACTACTCTGTACAGTTACTTGGGAAGCTTAATTTGGATGACCAGAAGGAATGATTTTTAAAGAAGATGGACCAAAGTGGACTACACCTTTGTATGAAGTCCTGCTCAGAATTAAGGGGTCTTAAATATTTTTTAGTTTAATTTTCCAAGTGTTTTCAAGTTAACTGAAAAAGCCATTGTACTTCTTAGTAAGTGTGTTTACACCAGGATTGAATGTGGTTCAGTTAATCTACTTTACTTTAGGGCTAGGGACAGACATTACACATAAACTGATTTAAGTGATCAGAAACTGGTTTAACCTGTAACAGAGCATAAGTTCAGTGCACATAAACCAGTTTCAAAATTCCTGAAACTGGTTTAAGATAAACCTGGTTGAATGTAGCATCAGACTTAAATGGTTTGGGTCAAATTGGTTTATGCAGTGTCTGTCCCAGACCCCTTCCTGGTTTAAGTTAAATTAGAATCCCCCAGAATCCCAGAAGCTTTGCAGCCCTGGGCTGGGTTAGGCTGGTCTCGCCCCTCTCTGTGCTCCAAAGAACAGACTGGTCACACACCTCTCCTCCATAGCCAGAGCTCTGGAGGAGACTGTAGGCACTTCGCTCACTACTGGCTGCTCAAGCAGGATTTTCCCCTCTCTCCCTCCCATCTCCCACAGCATGGACCCTAGCCCCACAGACCTTAGGCATGTGGTATGATAGCTAATGCTAAGAGGTGACTGTATGTGTGCATCTCCAGTTTCACTGGGACAGGCAGACAGAACAGTGTCCACTTAGGGCTTTTTGGAGCTAATCAACAGGGCAGCTGGTAATGTCCCCCCATTCCTTCCTTGGAAAAAGCTGTTTAAGAAGAGCTTGAACTAATGAGAGAGGCTTTGTTTTGCTGATGGGCTGATAACACAGTGGTTTGCTAATGGGCTGATAACACTGGTTTTATCAGCCCCCCTGCTGGTTTGGAGCCCTGTCAGATTTGGAGCCAGGGAGAGGGAGATTGAAAAGCTCAGTATCATCAACAAAATCATGCATTGCACACACCCACTTTGTCTCAGAGTGCTAGCCCAGGGCTGAGGTCTAGCAACATTTTTGCCCCTTGAGCAGCAAGCAGGGAAAAGCCTAAGAGGGTGCAGGCCAGGGTGGGGTTTTAAACCCCTCCCTAATCAGAATGTCCTTCAAGGGTCTGGCCATGCCTCCCCTCAGCTGATCATTGTGGAAGAGAAGGGAGGGCTGCTCTAGTGCCCTCCCCCCCCACAGTCAACCTGGCTTCTAGCCTGAGCCAATGCAGGCATGTGCCTGCATTTCTGGAATGAAAAGGGAATGTCTATCCACCTCCAAATTGGTACAAGCTTTGCAGGTTAGAAAACCTAAATATCCTCCACTTGCTGATGCATTTCTTTACAATGATATGTCGTACTTCATTTATTACTGTGTTTAGTTATTATGTTCAGTAGTGAAATGAGGTGGGTGATTTGGGACACCAACTCCAGGCAACCACTTAGAAGGGGTACTAGAATGGTAGCTCCCCGAGAAGTCTGGGGTGGTACAGGAGATCCATGCTGTGGCTATGGAAGCAGCTGCTGGGTGCAGGGACTACTGCTGTAGCAGCAGCGGCAGCAGCAACAACTGGGGCTATGTACTAGTAGTAGCTGAGGACTCGGACTTCCCCAGGAAGACCATGACCCTTTTCCTCATACTCTGGTGCTCAGTATTCCTGCTTCCCCTCCAGCCACGTTTTGCCCAGGATACAAACTTGATATTTATGCCTCTGATTGATGGTATTCAGTTGCCTCTGGAATCAGCTAGGGAGTTTAGTACTTAAATGTAGTGGATCATTGATTAATTTTAACTTTTTTAAATGGACATGGCTAATACAGAATACAAGATGTGTGCAAAGCTTCCAAATTCAACTACTTCTCTTGCTGATATTGGGAAGAGAATACATATGACTACTTTTTTCCATTCTGTTTCAGAATTTATTCATATGGTAGCCATGTGAAAACTCCAGCATTTTAGTCCCCGTCGCCTTACTCTGATCCCTGAGGAAGACCTCTGGGGCCAAAACAATGGAGGCTTGCAATGTGGCAAAATCCTGAAAAACATAGAAAATGATAGGAGTGCTTACCATGAACAAAACTACAATATAGTTCCTGGAGGCTGTCCCTTAAAGCATCTCTTAAAGGAACATGTGGCTTTTTGGGAACACGAACCACCACAACTTTTTATTAGAGCTGGAAACAGACAAGACATCCCCTAAATGCTGTGGCGGGGGAAAGAAGGGAAGAGGTGCTTAAAACACTTATGCCTTGTGCTTATTTATGATTTATGAATTTGAAGTCAGTTTTTAGTTGTAGCTCTTGCATATAATTTAATTGAGGTCAGTTGGTACATTTACGTTACATTTTATTGAGGTTATGGATAAGCAGATAAATGCTTCTGCTGTAGACTATGCTATTTAACTTGTGTTTCTTAAGTGAATTTATTTTTCTGCATTAAGCTGATTTTAAGTTTTGCATGGTTATCTTAAAGATAGATATTTTTGTAAATTGTAGACTGGATGATGGACAAAAACGGTTTTACAGCTGGCATCCCAGGTTTGCCAATATCCCTTACTAAATGCAGTACAGTTAACTAGAGAGAGAAATTAAAACACTTCTCCAAAAATTTTATCAAGTACTTTTCATAGAATAGGTTCCATTCTGTAACATTCAATCTAGATGTTAAAGATGTATTAAAGTGTTTACGTACTTTCCATGGTAGCGCTTAGATTTCCAAAGTTATTGTTTACTGTCCAGCTTTAAAAAAACCCCCAAAACAACTTTCATGTATCTATGAACAGTAGACACAACAGGTAGTCTGGAAATCATTCTTGGCTAGCTGAAACTACATGTTTAGAAAGAAAGATAAAATTCAGATATCTTCTGGGAACTTTTTTTCAAAGCACTGGCAGTGCAACATGGTGGCCATATAATTCAGATGTTAGTATCTAGGAGAACTTTTAAAAAGTATTCAAAACCACTCATATACATTATAGTACTTAAATTTAGCATTTTCTATTTCACCTTTTCCCAAAAAATGTAGGCAGGTGGCCTAAAGATCGTATGATATACTCATCTTCTATATAATTAATATACATAAAGGCTATAACATTCTGTAGCAGCTTAATACTATAGCTTTTTCAGTCCTTTTTCTTGGGGTTGCATGTGTTTTGGGAAGATGGAATAAGTTCCTTGGCTTCAAAATAATTCTAATGTGTTTTTTGTTTTAACTTTTATTCTCTTTATTTATTTAGGCGTCTGAACAAGAATAAATTACAGGTACTTCCTGAGCTGCTTTTCCAGAATACACAGAAGTTAACCAGATTGTAAGTAGAGTTTGATTTTTTTTGTTGGTTTTTTTGTTGGGTTTTTTTTTTAGTATGTACTTTATGTGCCTGGATTCATTGTGTGGGTTGTCTGTGTGCTTTGGAGACTTCAGCTGATTGCTTTTAGTTATATTTAAGATATTTTTCGGTTTGAACAGTTGAAATAAGGACGTTTTTAATCATGATTGTAGCTATGTGCTGGAAAATAAATATTTGAAGGAAGGAAGCCACAGGTTACTTTTCTTTGTTTCACAGTGGATGCAGATTCAGTGTGATGGCATCAGTGTTAGTATATTAATAATAGTCTATGTAGAGCTAAAGAGTAAGTTCAGTAATGGAAAATCTTTGGGCTTGGTATAGTAACTGTCCACAGAAAGAAAGTCTGTTCTTGTGGTATTTTAATGGTATCATTTCAGTTGAGCCAAAGATAAATGCAGATAACTTAGGTGGGAGTTGTGCTTTTTGTATTTGAAGAACAAATATTTTCCATTTCCCAAGGTGCATTGAAGATGCCAAATGATAAGCTATGCAGATGGGAATTAGTTTGCTTCAATACAAGGAGAAAGAAAAAAAGAAATGAGTTTAGAGTTGGTGTGCTTTTCTCAATCTAAGCCTAGTCAGTAGAGTGTGATGATGGCAATGGATATTTAGGTTGTGGGTGAGCAATGGAGTTGTTGATGGTTCTTCTATGTAGGGAGTAGAATTGCATATTTCTGTGAAGAATGCTATTACTATATTAATAGGGAGGCAAAACCTCTTCAAAACAGTTTTACTTTAACCTGCAAAAGCTTAACTGCCAATTCATTTTCACTGTTTGGGAAGTTTGCTGTATGGTTGTTTTTGTCTCTCTGTTTCTCTCTGTGTGTATGTACATGTGTATATGTATATATGTATATATATATGTGTATATATGTGTATATATATATATATATATACTTTTTTTAAGAGGTTATTTAGATTTATGGAAGACTTGGTCTTACTGGTGAAATTGCAAAGTTACTATTAGTCAGTTGAAAGTTTGCTTTATCCATGTGGAATTGTAAAAATTCTGTTTTAATAACTCTTTGTAATCAAACAAAACCATCTCAGCACCACAGTAACTTTTCCTTCTTGTAGAAATGTGAAACTCATGGTGATGAAGGTGGTTGATAAATGGTGGTTTAGAAACGGGTTCACCAATTAAAAGTAGACTATATCAGTGTTTTAAAGCAAAAGAATTGGGTAGTGTTGAACATACTTAATTCAAATGTGAAGACTTCATTTCACATAATGAATTCGTTCATGTTATATTTCTAATGTGAAACACTTCTTACCCACCTTGCTGAGCCCTTCCATTGACTTCTAGCAGCAGCATGGTTCTAGCAATAAAACCTCATAAAAGGTACTTGCTTTTTACTTTCCAAATCTGCCTGCAGAAATGTAAGTCCTGTTGCATCTCACCTGGTCTTGGAATTAGTTTTAGCACAACTTTTAAACATACTGGAAAAGATCTGCTGAGTGGAATTTCTAAGTCTGAATAGTACATGTGCATGTGTGCTAAGATCCTTCCTGAAAGTTTCTGTAAATTCTGCATGTTGAAACTGCTCTTCTAATTTAAACTATACACTTCGTTTTACCTTGCAGATAAAGCCATCTCCATTATAGTTATACCTGACTTTATACTTATTTCCTAAAAGGTTGATCTCTCATACCCTCTGTATACAAATGGCGGATTTTTAATGGTAAAACTCTGTAGAGCTAATCCATAGGTTTTAACAAAGTCTCAGTTATGTAACATGCATAAACCTCCTTCATGGATAATTGTTGTACTGCATGTGATTATCATTAGATTTAAAATACCTTCTCCCAGGTGTATGTTTAATTACCATTTCAGCATGTTGGTTTGCAAGTAGGCTGAGCATATCAGGATCTGACAAAGGCAGGTCTCTTGACTGAATTCTGGCTTCCTACATCAAAAGATAAGATAATTACCATCCTTTTTCCTTGATTTCAGTTGTCAGTATAACAATTTTGTGAGATTTAATAGCTGTATGTATGTCAATTAGCATGTACTTGTATTATGAAAAGTAAACCTTTAATTTAAGGTTCCATGGAGAAGTAAAAGTAGTCATGTATTTTGAAACAGAAATATATTTATTTGATTGTTCAGATAATGATGCTTACTGTCATTAAACTTGGCTAATAGTTTAAATTTTATAAGGTAAAATTACAATATTTACTCAAATATAAGACAACCCTGATAATAATACAACCGCCCAATAATTAGATTATACATATGGAAAATTTATAAATTTGTTATAATTTTCCAGGTATAGAATCGAATTACTGAAGGTTTGCCTTGAATTTGTCCTCCTCTCACTACTATAGAAGAGAAAAAACATCTGGGGAATCAGCCCCATTTGCCCTATGCATCCTTCCCCCTGCAGTCCCATTCCATCAGACCCTGCTCTCCCTGATCACATGGAAATGATAACAAAATTTTGAAAACACTGACTTTGAAAAAAACATGCCTGTAGTAATTTGCATATTATTATGCATACCCATAGGCGTAGTTTATCCAGTATTGATGCATTTTACCTTTTCTGAAACTGTTGCAAGTTTTAGTACAGGTACTCCATAAACACACTTTTAAGCAGCACTTGGTACTTATGTATATATAGTACAGACCAGGTGTTCTCAACCTTTTTTAACATGTGTATCCCCCCGGCCCTGTTCCTGGGAATGAACACAGAGACTGAGCTGAGGTGGGGGTGGGGAGACGCTGAGGTGTGCCACATGGAGCTGGCAGTCTCTGGCATGCCCCTCCCCCTCTGCCGGGTAAGAAGCAAAGTGTGGGAATGCGCCTCCATGCCCCAGGGTGTGCTCCGTCCCTGCCCCCACGTACCTCCTGTGGCCTGTCTAAATAGCGCTGGGGGTATGCATATCCCCAGCTGACAACCCTTGGTATGGACTTTTTTTTTCTATACCCCTGGTATTAGACTATGCATGATCTTGATCCGAAGGGCTCATGCTTTATCATATAGTTCAATGGACTTGCCCCAGTAGAGTCAATAGTATTTCAAGCCAGGGTGACTCCTCAGTATGTGTGTACTCCAGATTACCCTTGCCTTTCCAAAGCATAAATGTATTATTTAACCCCCAATTTATGACTGGAATTGGGTGCTCTTGTCTCAAGTCCTGGGAGCCTTCAAAATATTATATGCAGATGAGGCAGAGGGCAAACTGGTTTGGCTCCACTCATAGAGAGGAGCAGGGCCACACTAATCATATGTGACAGGCTGAGAGAGGGAGTTGGGGATTCTGGGTAAACTGCTTGGGTCCCCGTTTGGTGATTGCCAAACATTTAAGGCTGGTGAAGAAACAGGAATACTTGGAAATGGGAAGGAACAGCTCAACTGTGGGAGTGAAGAGGAAATCAAAATGTATTCAATGTAATGGACCACCATGACTTGAAAAAGATTCGGGACTGAGGGGAACTGTACTTACTGAACCATATACTTTATTCAGATGAACTGTATTAACCTATCCTTGTAGTAGTTTCCAATCAGTATGTTTGCCTAATATGGGCCATGTGTTTTATAGTCATGCTCAGTTTTGGCTATATTTAATCAGTTTCACAATTGTTTTTCATTGCTGAGCGCAGGCTACTTTTAACAGCAGTTTAATGATAGACAATGTATTTAATGAGGTTTCTTTGTGTATGAATGTAAGAGGGACTTTTTCTCCCATGCTGACTGAGGGGGATGATGCACCTCATCTTGTGATTAAATAAATATGGAACTGCATTATTATGTAAGGCAGATAAAAGAATATCAATTTTACCCTTGTATATTGCCTCCTATCAAATTATATTAAAATGTTGTACCGTATAGATATCGATGGCTGAAGACACTCAAGGTTTTGGTGAGATGATCAGATGTTCTGCCATGGTCTTTGTTAGTAGTAGTAGTTAGATGTTTTTTCTTTTTGTAGTGTCCTTTAGCTAGAAGGCAATAGCTTTTTTAAAAGGTACAAATGTTAACAGAAATATCAGATTTTAAGTGGAACATATAAGGTACACATGTAAATCACTCAATATTATTGTTGCATCCAAAAGTAGCAATGTAGGTCTGCTGCATATGCTTCAGTAATACAGGTCTCAGCAGCATCTACCTACAGGGGAACCCCTTGATGAAAGGTTTCCTTTTACATTTGACTACTGATTTACACAGCAGTTCTGATCCTGCCTGCAGTAGAATCCAGGAATTTGGAGCCTTTCCTCCTCATTTTCATCCTGTGAGTCTGAGCAGAGTTCAATAATGCCAGTCAATTCCACTTGAAATAGGATCTGTGGGTAAAATGCTTCACTGGTGAGGCATAATGATAAAGACTTTTCTTTTCCAGCAGCTGATCTGGACTTTCAAGAAGAGAGAGTGCTTAAGATAGTGAAGAAGGGGAGTAACATAAGTGAGGTCAAGATAGAAAGGAAATTGGAAGAAGTGATTAGACTTCAATATGGAGTAAGAGAAAAGTAAAAGGGGACAGATGGAAGAAAAAAGAAAAGACAGTAATACTTAACAGATGAATTTTACTAGTTCTGGTTATTGACAGCACTCAGGTACATACTATGTGGGCTATCACAGTTTCACGCTGGGCAGCCCACTGGGTTACTGAGCTATAAATAAATTCAGTTTTTAAAAGTTATAACCTATACAGTCCATTCAAAGTCCAGATAGGTAGGTTCATCTCTCTATAGCCAACTGATGCTTTGAAATCTAGTGGGTCAAAATTACATAACTCTGCATAGCACCATAGGGCAGAATAGCTTTCAGGCTCATATATTCTATTTGGATGAAAGCTCATTCAGTTTGAATCAGTGTTTTATCTCACTTGGGTTTGAATGTGGACCTTTGGCATCTCCATATTTAAGCCCAGACACCACTTCAGTTCCAGCTCAGCCTCTGCCATGAGGTCTCCAATGGAAGACCACATGACTTGGTCATCTTGTCCCCCATTGGAGC